GTCCAACAATAAACCATCTTTCCAAGCAGCCTCCATGTCTCCAGTGTCTTTTTTCCCCACTTGGAGCTGAACCCAGAAGGACATTTCTTTCCACAACACATTGGAGTCTTCTCAAGGGAAAGCATCCTTCCCTTCACCTTATTTTCCTGCAATGAAGTCCTGTGATGAATCACCATGGCCTAAATGTGATTGGTCTTGTTTTTTTCCTCTTAGGGTGTTCTAGTTGTATTTATATATTTGAAAAATGCATGCAGCCATTTGTATTACATAAAATAATCCCAGGGGGCTAATAAACAAATGAAAACAGAAGCTTATGATATGCCAGGCACTGATTTGTAAACCCAGAGTAATGTGGGCCTCCGTTACTCAGCAAATCATAATCGGGAAAGCTACGACTGGATGTGACACGTTAATCCAGTTTTAATCTACCTATTTCATCTGAACAAGCTATCCTTACCTTCGAATAATTAGCTTCTTGAGCTTATTTGGTAATAAATCAATGGCCCACATCTCAGTCGAAATGAACAGGCTTTTGCTCACCCAACACAATGCATTCTTCTCCCCCCCTCTGTGTGTTTCCTAATTTGTCCTGGAACAATCTTCAGTGCTGATTTCGGGGGCAAGTGGGGGGCCTAGGAGGGCATGTTCAGAGATAAAATTATTTTTGCTCGCAAATGATGTTTATTCATTGGACGGGAATTCCTTATCTTTAAGGGAAGAATTTGGAGGAAAGATTAATGAGTGAATTATGAAGAGATTCTTTCTTTAGACGACTCTGTTCTGCCACGAATACAATCCGGCCCTCCATTCTGACATGCTTGGGTAAATCCTGATGCATTTTGGTCATAAAAGCAAAGGAAAAAGCTAGTATTAATATTCAGGTATACTTTCTTGCTTAATTGGGTAAAGTTACAGGGCAAAATGGCAGTTTTCCATACTGAGCAGGCCTGGTTGAAACAGGTGAAGGAGGATGTGTCCCATAATTCTCCTCAAAACAATTTGGGACAGTTTGTGGGGGTCGAGTGGGTACACTGCTTTAGAGAACACCCCCCCCCNAAAAAAAAGACCCCTAGACTGGAGCCTGTCTTTATAATTTCCTACTTTATTAAAACCTTTTCCATCCATCACCCATCCCACTGTCCTCCAATTCCATACACACAATCACTACATCCTGAATGTCTAGAACAAAAGTCATTGGGACAAATTAGCTTATATAGGTCACTGTTAACAGGAAAAAAAAGCCCATCGGAATAATTTTGATGATATACACTGTAAACTGGCAGTTAACATCAGGGATGAATTTGACGGTAGATTAACACGAAATCCTATGGGTGATATAGAGACCAATGTATACATTCCTACGTTACAACAATTTCTACCATGTATTCATAATTTTACCATATTTTCATAATTAAAGCGCTTTTTTTATTGCACTTGCTGGAGGAACATTTACAGATTAGCCGAGGTATGTAGAGCTTCTTAAATGAGCTTTTGCAAAAAGAAAAAAGAGAAATGGATGGGCTTATCCTAACTTGAGGCATTGCGTGTTGAAGCTGTCACCCTCTTTGACAGCTACAGCTTCAAGGAGAGCCTGTTTCTTTTGCATGCTGCGAGAAGACTCAAGTTCGTACATGGTTGTCAAATTGAAGAGAACGCTCTCGTGGAGGTAGTGTTTAGGATCCTGCTGAACCATCCCTTCCAGCTGATGGAGGGAATCCTTCAGCCTTCCCAGGTAAAGACGACAAACAGCAGCATTGTTGTTAGCCTAGGGAAAATAGGTATATTATATCTCTTTGTGAAATACAAAAGAACCATGCTAGAGAAAATGCAGCACACTTTAAAATACTTTTTCTTGATTTTGTGAAGGGACCTGGATGCTTTCTTTGTTGCTAGAGTTCCAACCGTTACAAGAGGGCCTGTTTTCAGAGCTCAAGACGGATATGAGCAACATCTCCATTTAAACTGGTTCCCCAACTGGATGCCCAACTCCGCTGACTAGCTGAGGATTCTGGGAGTTTATATTTCAATCCGTATGGAGGGTTCCAGATTTGCATCATTCTAGTGAAGTTCACTAAACAAATTCTGATTGTGCTAAGTACTTATACTTTTTACCTCAATGTATACAATTCTCAACCTACAACCAGTGACTGTTCAAAGTTAAGGCAGACCCCCTAAATGCTGCATGTGATGTGGTCCCAAAGTTATGGCAGCTGCAGTGCCTTTTGTCCTTATAGCCAACTGCAAGGAGCAATAGCAATAGCAGTTAGACTTATATACCGCTTCATAGGGCTTTCAGCCCTCTCTAAGCGGTTTACAGAGTCAGCATATCGCCCCCAACA